GGATGGTTTTGCTTATAGGAAGAACATAGGGGAACCAAATAAGGGATCAGGAAATAAATAATAAAAAAATTAACAGGAAACTATAAATCCAAGACATTCTGTGGGGCAGCGGGGAGGAGAGGGATCAAAACAGGGGAGGGAAGAGCATAAGGGACTATGGTGATGGTCATGGGTGAATTGGTGGTGGGAATTCTATAGGGACTACACCTGAGAGGAGAGAGCAAACACTGTACAAAAAATGAACAATGCTGTAAAATATTTTTTTTAAAAAATTTAAAAAAAAAGGTTTGCCTGAAGTAAACTTCAAAATTAAAACAAAGATAAATCATGAATTGATACATTTTAATTCTTACATACATTCAACATGTTTTCATGATTTGTTTTTTTTTGATGTAGGGTAGGACCACATCTTACTCATAATATTCCCATCAACTAATACTGGCTATAGCATGGTACAAAGGCTTTCACTAAATGTTTGTTAAGTGAATTATATAACTTATTAGTTCTAATATATGTGGATCTGATATGCAGTATACCTAACCAGTGTAACAAAAGCATTGTGTGGGTTTACTATTATTTTTTCAAAGAAATATCTCTCACAGTATAGCTGCCTTTAAGTGAGAATATATCACAAAACCCCCAACCCTTGTAAAGACACAAAATACTCACCTTTATTATTGACTAGAAGCTAAACTTAGTTTTTGAGAGGGGAAGAAAGACTTTGAAGCCAGATTGATGTTTTATTCCCTTGCCTCCTTTACTTACTTTTCAGAGACCTTCTGCTGGGGCCTCTGGACCAAAATGCCTTTAAGCAAATAATCTCTCTGGAAAGTTAATCTGTTCGTTGTTCTGGAACTTTCTTGATGTTCCTATGTTGGAAGATAGCGGTGTAAGGGGAGCCCAATGAAGACATTAAAGTTACACTAGCATTTATGCAGTAATACATGGACAGTTGAACCTGCCTCTGAAAACTTCAGTGGATAGAAAAAAAAGTTTGTCGTCAATTCGGGCAATGAGTTAGCTTCATTGCTTCATTCATCTTCAATTACTGTCTGTATCAAACACTGCAGGAGCAACTCATCAGTCTTCCAAAAGACCTTCAGTCATCCAACCTTAATTTAGTAAAAAGGAGGTTAAAATACCTTCAGAAGATCTCTGTCCTTTGTCACCATATACCAGCAAACGCTGGCCTCTGAAACCAATTAAGCATCTAAACATAAGCAAATAAATCCTCCCAAAAAGAAATAAAGCTCCCAGTAAATCAACAAAAAAATATCTCTTAAGCCTTTGTGTAATATAAATTCTTTTCCTTAACAACTTGGCAAATGTAGGATTGGCGAAATTTTGCCTTCTAGGCATTATATTTGCTACAAGTAGAGGTAATCTTGACAAGTTCATTTTTTAAGTTCTTCTTCCCTGTGCCAAAAAAGATATATAACTGTAGCGCTGCACAGCTATGGAACTAATGTGACCTCACCACATTTCTGATGGTTTTTGGTAGAACTCCTTGCCAATGTACAGAAGTAGCATGTGGGCCAAAGACTTAAGTTACAGATCCTGTAAGGCATCCTCTTTCTGCTTGGGAAGTGTCTCTCTTCCCTCTTGAGATAAGGCAGTGACAGTTCTTCCTTGTGGGAAACACAATTTCTTTTCTAAGTGACCTAGTTAGGCAGAAAAAGAGATAAGAGCATTTCCCCCATGATTGACAGGGCTGATGTGTCCCAGAGAGACCAAAGTCAATTTATTTATTTATTTATTTTTTACTGATAGATTTGATTGGGACCTTTGTTAGTTGGGCGGTTTCATATCATCCCACAGAAGTGGCTATAAGTTTAAAAAAAAAAAAACTTTAACAAGAAAAACAGACATCTTAGCCATTCTATGGAGTGCAAAGGAAAAAAAAATCTATCACTTAAGTTTTCAGTTGGACTTCAAGAATTGCAGAGTACAAAACATTATCACTTTTTTTTTAATCACTTAGCACCTCAACTTGAAATGTGTTTAAATTAGTCTGAAATTCATCTTTGGTTAAGAGCAGGAACCTAAAGTCCATTTTTCATCCCTAGTCACACAGTGGTGAGCTAGTATCCTTCTAAATTCTATTTTACTGTAAGAAATTTCACCTTTCCTTTACTACCATTTATCACATTGTTCCCTTCCTCAGTGATCATACATTTTTGTGTCATTTTTCCAATCCAATCAGTAACTGCCTAAGCTATCAGCCCTGCAGCCCAGATGTGATGACCACCTCCCCCAAGCCCACACACACACACACACACACACACACACACACACAAAATGGGAATTAGTTGTACAAACCCAGTAGGAGAAATCTCAACAATTTTTTAGCCAGTGTGTGTGAAAAAAATAGAAAGTCCAAGTTTTTTTTTTTTTTTTTTTTTTTTTTTTAAGGATAATGAAAGGGGACTGCATTACTTGAAGGCCTGAGGGAGGTGGTACTAAAACCATGACTACGGTATAGTTAGTGAAGTACAAAGTGTACGTGCATTTAAATATTTCACTTTGAAATTCTCTGAATTTTCTATAGTGAGTAAATATTTGTGGTGAGAAATAAAATACAATTCTTTTTGAGAGATCACTAGTGAAAAATTGTCCAATTTCCCCACATTCCGTATCTCCAAACTCAAAACAGTCTCTGTGGTTGACTGTTGATGTGTCTATGATAGGTAGGAAATGCTAGCCCCAAATTGGTACCATGATCCTGCCAGTTAGGGGCTCTTACAGAGCCCAAGAGGCTGTCACAGCAAGACCAAGTGTTTTTACTTTTAGAATTGTGTGTGTGTGTGTGTGTGTGTGTGTAAAAAATAATAATGCTAAATTAATTCGTATTTTCTGGTTAGTTTAGCCAGGCTCCTTCTTCTAAATTATATTATACTACATAGTCCTAAAGTGATTTTTTTTTTTTAAGATTTATTTATTTATTTATTTATTTATACAGGCACTGGGTACAGTCAGAAGTGCAGGAGGGGGAGAGAATTCACCAGAGCCAGAGCGGGGAGCAGAGCAGGCAGACTGAAGTACACTGCTGAGGGGAGCAGCGGGTGGCAGGAGAGGTCTGCGCGCCATGTGGGACCCTCCTCTGGTGGCCGGGAGCAGCCGGGGGTCGAACCGGCGCTGCAGAGGCTGCGGGCAGCCTTACAACCCAGCGCTCAACCGCTGCGCCACCAGGGAGGCCCTAAAGTGATATTTTTAGTAAGCTAAAGATTGTTTTAGCCTCTAAGCCCTGATTATTCCCTCTTTTAATTATTCCATGGAAATATTGTTAGAAACAAAGGAAGTATTTCTAGTTTTCCAGACACAGTTCTTGTGATATAATGTTAAATGCACAAATAGTGTATGAAGCGAAAGGCGAAGTGTGATAGTGTTACAAAGACTTGGAAGAAAGTCCTCAAAATTTTGCAGATGTTTACTTCTCAAATACCTCTAAGCTATTTTATGACTTCTTTTATACTTTTCCTCCAAAATTTTCATCATAAAATATGTATTGTTTGCATGATAAAAATATAACATGTTAATTCATTTAAATTCCTGAAAAGAGAAAGGAAAGCAGCAAAAGCAGTCCTCTGGGGAGGCCAGAGGGAAATGACTGTCACTGTTGAAAGTAATACCCGGTGCTGTTTCTGTTGACCTAAAGATTATCAAGCTTCTTATTCATTAGGTGGGTCAGAGGTGTCCTGTTGATGAAAATGCCAGCCTAGTGACAAGCAACAGGTGCAGGCCTCTGCCTTGTAAGCCCTGGGAACATTTTGAGAATTGCCAGCATTTTGGCAGGGTTTTGCAACTCTCACAGCTGCTATGTATCAAGCAGATGCTGCTTTCACATTTCAGTGTTCTGCGATGTGAGCTCTGGCCCAGCTCTTCCTAAACACGCTGGGTTTTGACCAGCTACCATGTACCTGGCCAGAGTATTGTCATGAGAGCTGACAAATTAAATTTTGGGACATCAGTCATCTGGCGTTTAGTCTGCTTCCAGGGAGTCAAAGGAATAGTTACTGATCCAGGCTAAAGGGAATAGAAAAGTAAAATTAAAGCAGGTCTGTTTGTCAAGAAAAACAAGACCAATGCTACAATTGAGAGAGTTTCAGAGAGTCCTTGGCTGTGAGTCAGGTATCTAGTGTTTTTTAAGGATGTATCAATCGCTGTTTTAAAAGAATATCGAATAGCTTCTGTGTAATGAATGAGAGCAGCGTAAGCCAGGATGAGGCAGATTTAGAAATGAGTTCCTCATCACATCTCTTGGCCAAGAAAAACATGCACCTTCTCCAGAGACAGAATTTTTCTTCCATTCTAGGAGGTAGAGGAACACATGAAGTATATGTTGTCCAGACTTTCAGATGAGCAAATTTCTCTAGCAATTCTTTGTAATCTACTCATAAATAAATGGAAAGAGAAATTATGAGGTAACTGGAATCTTTCTATATCAGGATTGTCATCTCTGTAAAAACAAGTTAGTTCCGTGCCTAATCCCCTGCCTAAATACGGAACTCTCAATCTTGTGTTGATACACTAAGCCAACATTCCCTCTCTCCCCTAGAATGGCGGTTGGGTGTGACAGTGTAAATTTGCAAGTGTGTGGAACAATTTCATTTTATGATTCTAAAGATTTTTTTAAGATTGATTTATTTATGCATACAAGAACTGGGGTGTAAGCCAGAGGTGCGGGGGTGAGAGGATTCACCAGAGAAAGTGGGGAGCAGAACAGGCAGATCCACTGAAATACACTGCTGAGGGGAGCAGCAAGTGAGACAGGAGAGGTCTGTGCCATGTGGGTTGTTCCCTGGTGGCTGGCAGTAGCTTGATAGTGTTGTCTTTAACCCCTGTGCCACCAGGGAGGCCCAATTCTAAAGATTTCAATAGCAATTGGAAGAGCTTTAGTCTTTGGTTAGTCTTTGGTTAGTTTTCTTTGACTTGGGAGGCATGAAAATATTTGAACTTCTTGTTCCAGATTGATCTTGACTGTCTTCATTTTTTTACCTCAGATCATCCAGCCCCTCTTAGAACTTGACCAAAATAGAAGCAAATTAAAGTTGTATATTGGACACCTGACAGCCCTCTGTCATGACCGTGACCCCCGGATCCTTCGTGGACTGATTCCACCAGCTTCCTATGACTTGGACGATGACCAGGCAGCTTGGGAGAATGAGCTGCAGAAGATGACCCAGGAACAGGTAAGTCTCAAACTTGAACTTGAAAAACTCTTAATTTGAATTTTTTTCTTGGTCTTACCCTGAACATTATTTTTTTTCCCTTGGAAAGACAATTTTAAGTCCATAAAGGCATATTTGAAAAACATTATTAAACAATACTTTTTCCATTTCAAAGATTGAGCATTTTTCAGAAAGTTTGAGTAAATGAAACTAGGAATTCATTGATAGTCTCTCCACTGTTAAAACCAACCACTGTCATCATCAAAACAATTCTCATTTACATGAATTCTGTTAATATAATCATATTTCCCCTTGCTTAAGAATGTGCTTCAGTTACTTAAACTATTATTTGAGGTGCATGAAATTGTATTTTCAGCAATATCTCCTGGGAAACCCATGTCTTACATCATTTGCAAAGGAATATAGCAATTAACACCACCTTCTGTAAGCTTCTCCGTAGCTGCTAAAGATTGGTAGAGAAATCAGCCAATTTTCTTCACTTCACTCCAAATAAGAATTAAGGAAATGATGCAGGCTATTGAGGAAGATGATTTCTAGTAATACAAAAATGATTTGATTTTAGTTCTTAAAGTCCAAGAAACATAAAATATGAATCACTGCCAAATATGCATGTTGGTTTATTGTATATGTGTGTTGCTTATGTTTTGTATGGGGGAGGTAAAGCCTTCTATTGACATTTGTATTAATCAACTGTGTGTCCAGTACCTTCTGCCGCCACTGTGCTCTCCTATTACTATCCCTTTGAGAAAAGGACAATGAACTTTTCTGTTTTTTTTTTCAGTGCCATATGCCCTGTACCAAGAACAGTACCTAGTGTATAGTACCTATTCAGTAAATATTTGCCAACATATGTTTAGTATGTACTTAGTTGATTATTTATTTGTACCAAAAACAGTTTCTTCAGTGCCTTTCAACAAATAGCTTTTGGTAATCTGACAATTGATGTCAGTAACCAGCCACACTCCACACCCAGAGTCTTTGAAGAAATAGCTTAAGGTAGTGTCAAAGTATAATGCTATTGTACACAACGTGGTTAACGCTAAGAAAAAATTTTTATGAAGTTCAGCTTCATTTCTAAACAACTCTGTTTATGAAGATCACATATTTAATCACTCTGTGTTAGCTTCCAGAATCACAGCACATAATTGGAATTCCAGGTCCAGGTTTCCCACGTAACAGTTATACCATGTACCATCTCCTGCTACATGACGTACCCTCGGTTTCTTGTCAAGTCTTCTTGCCAGCTCTTGGGATGGAAGCCTTGTGTGTCTCCATAAATCTGGCATTGACCCTAGCAAGTAGAATTAATTCTACTCAAGGAGTTGTTATTGGTTCTTAAGTCAAGTATTCGATAACTACATAAAAGTTGTGGGAAATTTTCAACTTAAACTTTTCTGACAGCTGCTTTTTTCCTTTAATGTCAATGCAAGTAGTTCTGGGTTTTAAATTTTCACGTATTTCATAGAGCTTAAGGAGTGGCACCCTAATGTGTTGGGGAGAAATAACAGTTGGGTTTTCACAGAAACATAGATTTGCAAAGGTTACACTGAACATACCACTTCCTTAGTTTCAGAAAGTTGCAGCCAGGTGGGATACTGCAGATATGTGCAGGTGTATATGATGGAAAGATCACACTCATGTGTGATCTTGCTTATAGCTGCAAGTGATTCTATTCGACTTTACCATGAGGTGAGGAAACATTTATAAGTCTCCCATGACCCTCTTATTCCTACGCTGCTGTGTTGTATAACGTGATTTCCCTGCAACTATAAACTTTAACTTTCCAGCATGTCACCAGTGCAATGGCTCATATAGTTATTGGAACATAATAATGTTCTTGGGTTAAAGTGTCCTAGTTTGGAGATGTTTTATGTATTGTGACTTTATACACACTGACCAGTGTCAGATAGTGACCATAGACTGAGTAGATTTGGGTTTGATGACTGCAGTTAATGCATACATTGAAAGTATTTTAGTTTGCGGGTGAGTGGATATATGCAAGTTACATTTTAAAGGCTTAAGTATTCAGGTCCTATTCCTTTGGTTTCCCCTATCTCTCTCTCTCTCTCTCTCTCTCTCTCTCTCTCTCTCTCTCTCTCTCTCTCTCTCTCGCCAAGCATATATTATTCAAATAATGAATTTAAGGCCACTTAACCTTAACCTCTAGTTGCAATCTTGTCAAGTTCCAACAATTAAATTAGGACCAAAATCATACTTTATGACCAAAAATAGATTATTTTTAACTATCTTGTATACATGAAAGAACAGCCATTTATCTCATTGAGATAACTTTTTTCTGGTTTTCATTATATATTTTTACTTATTACCACATAAAATTAGAAGTTATATTCACAGTATTATATTTGTTCAGCTTTAAGGTTAAACGGGAGCTGGTTTCAGAAGGGCAAAATGAGTGATCAGAAACTCAGTTCTAAATCTCACAGCACTCTAAATTGAATGAGTGCTTTTCAGATTGGATAGAGGATATCCAAATCTCCTAAAGGACAATCCTCCCTTCTGCTTTCCCATCTCCAGGATTCTAACAATCAAGGGAAAATGAAGTTAAAGAAAAATAAGATAAAATCAGGAATGAGCTCTCAGGCACTGTCTACATAGAATTATGTGATTAATTTTGCACTTTGTAGTATCCTTCAAGATTAAAACAAACCAGAAGTCAGTAAAAACATCACACTTTTTTTTAAAGATTTATTTATTTATACAAGAACCGGGGTACAGGCCAGATGCGTGGGAGAGTGAGAGGATTCACCAGAGACAGAGTGGGATGCAGAACAGGCGGATGTCCTGAAATACACTGCTGAGGGGCGCAGCGGTAGAAATAGGAGAGGTCTACTTTGCCATGTGGGTTACCTCCCTGGCCGGGAATGAAACTCATGCCGCAGTGGCTGTGGACAGCTTCATGTGCTGATGCTTCACTCCTTGTGCCACCAAGGAGGCCCCCACTTACTCTTGTCTTTTTGATGATAGCCATTCTAACAGATGTAAGGTGATATCTCATTGTAGATTTGCATTTCCCTCATGATTAATGATGTCAGGTACCTTTTTCATGTACCTGTTGGTCATTTGTATATCTTCTTTGGAAAACAATTTCTCTGTCCATTTTTTAATCAGATTTTTTCGTTCTTTTGCTATTGAGATACCTAAGTTTTTGATATTTATTTTACATTTATCCCCTTATCAGATATATGGTTTGCACATATTTTTTCCCTTTCCATAGATTTCCTTTTCATTTTGTTGATTGGTTCTTTTGTTGTATAGAAGCCTTTTAGTCTGATGTCATCCCAGCAAACCATTTTTGATTTTGTTGGTTATGTGTTTGGTGCCATGTCCAGGAAGCCACTGTGTCCAGACTAATGTCAAGGAGCTTTTTCCGTATTTTATTCTAGGAATTTTATGGTTTCAGGTTTTACATTTAAGTCTTTAATCCATTTTGAGTTCATTTTTGTGAGTGGTGTAAGATGGGTCCACTTTCATTGTTCTGCATGTGGTTATCCAGTTTTCCCAGCACTTTTTATGTGAAAGGCCATCCATTCCTCACTGATATTCTTGGCTTCCTTGCCAGATATTAGTTATGCGAAGGGTATATTCTGGTATTTCAGTTCTGTTCAGCTCGTCTATGTGTCTTTTTTTATGCTGGTACCATACTGTTTTGATGACTATTACTTTGTTGTATTTCTTCTTCTTTTTTTTGGGGGGGGGGGGGGCAGGGGACCCTCACCGGCAGCCGGGGAACGAACCAGTGCTGCAGAGGCTGCGGACAGCCTCGCAGCCCAGTGCTCAACAGCTGCGCCACCAGGGGAGGCCCTACTTTGTTGTATTTCAAAATCAGGAAGCATGATGATGCTTCAGCTTTGTCCTTTTTCTCAGGATTGCTTTGTTTATTTGGGTCTTTGGTGTTGACAACAAAATTTTAGGATTCTTTTTTCAATTTCTGTGAAAAGTCCATTGGAATTTTAATAGGATTACACTGAATCTATAGGTGACTTTGGGTAATGTGGACATTTTAACAATGTTAATTCTTCTGATCCATGAACACAGGATATTTTTCCAGTTGCCTGTGTCTTCTGCTATTTCTTTCATCAAAGTCTTGTAGCTGTTAGTGTACAGATCTTTCATCATCTTCATTAAATTCATTCCTGAGTACATTATTGTTTTTTGAATGAGATTGTTTCATTTATTTCTTTTTCAGATACTTTGTTGTTAGTATATAGAAGCACAACTGTTTTCTGTATGTCAGTTTTGTATGCTGCAGCTTTATGGTATTATTTGGTTAAAACTGACAGCAGTTTTGTTGGATGAGTCTTTAATATTTTCCGTATATAAGATCATACCACCTCCAACAAAGACGGTGTTACTTTTTCCTTTCCTATTTGAATACCTTTTGCTTCTTTTTCTTGCTGATTATTGTGGTAAGGACTTTCAATAGTATGTTGAATGAAAGTGGTGAGTGTAGTAACCCTTGACTTACTCCTGGATCTTAGGGGAAAAGCTTTCAACCTTTCATCACTGATTTTGCTGTTGATGTTTGGTTTGTCATGTATCACTTTTCTTGTGTTGAGGTGTTTCCCTTCTATACCTGGTATTTTTAGCTTTTTTCCCTGAAAGAATGTTTACTTCGAGAAATGCTCTTTTTGCCTGTTTTTATAACTGTGAAAGAAATTTCATTCCCCACAGGCCTTCATGATGAATCAAATTCTAAATACCTTCAACATCCTCCATTTTATATATATAACAATTAGTTTTCATAGATCTATTGTTTTCCTAACATCTCAATATCATAACATCAATAAAAAACCATTCCATAGGAAATCTTAAGTATTGCTTTCCAAATTGTCATATATCTGATATGTTTTTTAATACAAATAATATATTTTCAAGTTTTTGGATAGTATTTAGGCAATACTCCCTATATATCAATAATCGCAAGAGAAAATTTCCTATGTTAAGCAATAATAGATGTAAGGACTTAGTCTTTGGCAGAT